GAATGATGCTGGTCAGCATAAGACATGTGGGGATTACAGACTGGGACAAGGAGAGGTTGAAAATGACAGTGAATATGCCTGCCAGCTGTTCAGTGCATTCTCTGACAACATGCCCTGGAATACTGTCCTGCCTTGCAAGTGTTGCCCTGATTAAAGCCTTTACTCACGTCAACCTCGGAGTTCGAGATCACCCAGTCCTCTGGGTCGGTGGGGGCCCTCACGCACGGCATGGTGTTATATCTTCTGGTAGAGAGAGGCATCGTTGGATAGATCACGGCTGGGTCTTCCTTTGTAATCCGTAATGCCACACGCGGCGGGCGTCGGCGCCTGTGTAATATGATTCCACCTTATTCTTATATTGTCCTTTAACTCGCTTGATGACTCGGTGGAGGTCCTTGCGGGACTTCTTGTACTTGTTCCTGTCCTCAGGTCGTCTGCGATATCCCTTACCTTTAGCTTAGCGCCAACCTCTGTGTTATTCCAAGGCCTTTGATTGGGGAAGCAGCGAACCTTCACTGTGGGGACAATGTCGCCGATGCATTTCCTAATGAAGCCAGTGACGGAGGTGGTTAGCTCGTTGATGTTATTGGCAGAGTCTCGTAACATATTCCTAGCAAAGCAGTCCTGTAGCATAATCTCTGATTCTGATGACAATTTCTCAACGGAGCGAGTCATGGGTACTTTGAGCTTCTGCTTGTAAACAGGAATACGAAGTCAACCTGATTTGCTGAATGGGGGACGAGGGAGAGCCTTGTAGTCTAGGACTGTATTGCCCCTAGTGGCGAAGGAGACGTGTTGAAGGAAGTTGGGCATCACGTGTCTTAATGACGCAGAATAAAAAAATCCCACAAGAAAACGCCGGCAACAAGGAAAGCAGCATCCGGGTGCAAGTTTTCCTGCTTGTTTATAGCCTCATATAGTTCGTTAGGTTCCAGCTTGTTATTTTACTTGTTCTGAGGTGGAATGTATACAACAGTCACGATAACAGCTAAAAACTCTTGGGAGGTAGAAGGATCAGCATTTGACCATCAGGTATTCCAAGACAGGTGAACAATCGGTCAAGACTTCCACTGCACTCGAGTTGGCACAACATTTGTTGTTGATGAAGACGCAAACCCCTCCCCCTCTCGATTTTCCTGACTCCACTGTCCTGTCCGCTCTATGGAGAATCCATCGAGTTGGATAGCAATGTGAGGGGGGGGGGGGGGGGGGGGTTCTCCGAAAGCAAGGTTTCAAAAATATTGCAATTAAGATAGTCCCGTTGGTAGCAAAGCCGCGATCGGAGGTCATCCATCTTATTAACAAGTGACTGTACATTGGCCAATAGAATGGAGGGAAGAGGGGGATGGTTTTCCTTTCGCCTTAATCGCGCAAGGACTCCCCCCCCCCTCTTGCCTCTGTAATGCCTGCGTTCTCTTGGATACCCCGAAGATTGGGTCGGAATTACAGAAAGAGTCCAGGGCAGATGAGTCGAAGTTGAAGCCAGAATTGGCGTAAATAACTGCCGATCTGATGTTCAAAAGTTATTGTCGGTTATAAGAAATGATAGCTGATACATTGTGAAAATAAATTACAAATACAGTGAGGGAAAAAAGTATTTAATCCCCTGCTGATTTTGTATGTTTGCCCACTGACAAAGAAATGATCAGTCTATAATTTTAATGGTAGGTTTATTTGAACAGTGAGAGACAATAACAACAAAAAAATCTAGAAAAACGCATGTAAAATTTCTTATAAATTGATTTGCATTTTAATGAGGGAAATAAGTATTTGACCCCTCTGCAAAACATTACTTAGTACTTGGTGGCAAAACACTTGTTGGCAATCACAGAGGTCAGACGTTTCTTGTAGTTGGCCACCAGGTTTGCACACATCTCAGGAGGGATTTTGTCCCACTCCTCTTTGCAGATCTTCTCCAAGTCATTAAGGTTTCGAGGCTGATGTTTGGCAACTCGAACCTTCAGCTCCCTCCACAGATTTTCTATGGGATTAAGGTCTGGAGACTGGCTAGGCCACTCCAGGACCTTAATGTGCTTCTTCTTGAGCCACTTCTTTGTTGCCTTGGCCGTGTGTTTTGGGTCATTGTCATGTTGGAATACCCATCCACGACCCCTTTTCAATGCCCTGGCTGAGGGAAGGAGGTTCTCACCCAAGATTTGACGGTACATGGCCCCGTCCATCGTCCCTTTGATGCGGTGAAGTTGTCCTGTTCCCTTAGCAGAAAAACACCCCCAAAGCATAATGTTTCCACCTCCATGTTTGAGGGTGGGGATGGTGTTCTTGGGGTCATAGGCAGCATTCCTTCTCCTCCAAACACGGCGAGTTGAATTGATGCCAAAGAGCTCGATCTGATTACAACACTTTAACCCAGTTCTCCTCTGAATCATTCAGATGTTCATTGGCAAACTTCAGACGGGCATGTATATGTACTTTCTTGAGCAGGGGGACCTTGCGGGCGCTGCAGGATTTCAGTCCTTCACGGCGTAGTGTGTTACCAATTGTTTTCTTGGTGACTATGGTCCCAGTTGCCTTGAGATCATTGACAAGATCCTCCCATGTAGTTCTGGGCTGATTCCTCACCATTCTCATGATCATTGCAACTCCACGAGGTGAGATCTTGCATGGAGCCCCAGGCCGAGGGAGATTGACAGTTATTTTGTGTTTCTTCCATTTGCGAATAATCGCACCAACTGTTGTCACATCTCACCAAGCTGCTTGGCGATGGTCTTGTAGCCCATTCCAGCCTTGTGTAGGTCTACAATCTTGTCCCTGACATCCTTGGAGAGCTCTTTGGTCTTGGCCATGGTGGAGAGTTTGGAATCTGATTGATTGATTGCTTCTGTGGACAGGTGTCTTTTATACAGGTAACAAGCTGAGATTAGGAGCACTCCCTTTAAGAGTGTGCTCCTAATCTCAGCTCGTTACCTGTATAAAAGACACCTGGGAGCCAGAAATCTTTCTGATTTCTGACAATTTATGACATTTTTGACATGCGTTTTTCTGGATTTTTGTGTTGTTATTCTGTCTCTCACTGTTCAAATAAACCTACCATTAAAATTATAGACTGATAATTTCTTTGTCAGTGGGCATACGTATAAAATCAGCAGGGGATCAAATACTTTTTTCCCTCACTGTAAAAGCCAAAATAATCACAAAATAGCAAAGTTGGATTAGAGATCGCAACATGGAGGCCATACAGTATGGCGCCATCTTTGTGTTTTCAGTGAGCAACTACAGAGGGAAAACTGAAGAGCACAGGGAAGACAAAGTTAGACGACCACCACTGGCTCCAAAAACAAAAAGCAATAACCAATATTTATATAACCCCAGACTTTCATATTCTACATTAAGCAGGAAGAGGAGCATATAATATCTCTGTGACACGAGTACAAAATACACTTTAAGAGAGCAGGAGTGTATTAGTGCCAACAGCACCCAGGCCCTCTAATGCAACACAGAGCCGCAAGGCATTAAACAGTAAGTCTTGGCTTGTTCTAACTCCGCGGCAGAAAGAGAAATAGAGAGGAGAAATCGGAGTCTCCCCAAAGGCCTGGTTATCGTACCAGGCTTCTCACAGTGATAATTCAGTCTGGGAAGGGTCTACTGCGTTTGGCCTCGGGAGGCAGAAGAAGAGCACCACAACCAAAACAACATGTTCTTTTTGGTTCTGGAGTCTGTACCTGCCAGATTGGGTTTCTCCTGGCAGTGTTGGATAACTGGCTAATATAGAGCCCAGGGCCCTGTTCAACAGAAAACAACAACTATTTTGGGCAAATTCAGTACCTCATCGTTGGCCTCATTAGGGAGAGAACAAGAAACAACAAAACATGTTTCTCCTGGTTTTGTACAAGACATATGGGGTTCCCTCTATTCTCAAGTGCAGGGATACCAAATTGGCTAACAGAGAGCCCTGGATCCTGTTCAGTAGGGCACACCGTAGCAAAACGTTTTGCAACGGTAAACTAGAATCTGGTCATTCTTATTGGACAATTTCAAGTAGTACCTCCCCATTTCAGAATGTTTTAAAACATTTTCGCCCAACTGAAGTTGACCCTGACTGATGTGCCTGCTGCTCCAACCAGGCCACTAGCCCTGGGCAAGCCCTGGGGCAGGAGAAGAGGGAGTCTAGAACTAAAGGCAACTATACATGAACGTGACAGCTAAATGAATAAATTGCTCGAAGCGGTGTAGAAAAGTATGAATATTTTTTTCAGATATCTCAAAATGAATTTCTTATTACAGATTCAATATGCAACCCCCATCATAGCAAGGGGAGCTTAGCAACAGTTTGCTTAGATTCTGTGTGGAATTCTCAAAACAAGCCAATCCAAGCACCAGCACCACAATCACCTAAGAAAATACAATTCCATTTACTTAAAATCTGAGAAAGGGGACAATTACTCTAAAGAGGAACGTTCTTGCTGATTGTTTGGGTGGCGGGTAGCCGAAGGAAATGAGCTGGCAGAGACACGAAGAACTAACGCCTCGGCATGCACAAGTGTTTGGCTTCATATGACACTTCAACCAGACAGCATACAGGGCCAGATATAAATGAGAGAGGCTGGAGGGGAATTTTTCATTAAAGCCATGAAAGAGAAAATAAAACTAGAGAGAAAGAGAGCGGGGAGAAAAAGAAAAAGGATTGAGAGGGAAAGAGAGAAAAGAGAAGAGTGGGAAAGTAGCATTCGAGGTGTAGAACTGGAAATCCTCAGTGGCGTGTCCAGATTTGGCAAAGATGCGTGGTGTGACCGGTATGGAGTGAAGGAGAGCGTCTGGCCTTCTGTGTTACTGGGAGCACCTTGGAGAGTGGAGGGACGGAGGAGTGATGGAGACGGGGGAGAGAGAGAAACCCTGGCCTCAATGACCCAAAGAACCAGCCATGGGGCTACTCTACACCGAGGCTGTGTCCCCTACCCTCCATTAGCCACAGTGCCAGACCTTACCCAAACCCCTTTCCCCTCAACTTAGCCAAACCTCTCCCCAATCCCCCCCCCCCACCTCTAGTACTCACCCTGGCAGGACTTGCCGGCCTGGCAGTGGGTCATGTGGTTGAGGACGTTCTTCATGGTGCGGCAGTGTGGCAGGGCGCAGGCCCGCACCTCCCCATTGGCCTGCTCGCGCCGCTGGCACTTGTGGGCGTGGAGCAGAAGCACCAGCTGCTGCTGGATCAGTTTGCGCTTCTCCGGGTCGGCCGTGGGGCCAGAGACGGAGACACTGCCAGGCACGGGGACCATGCCCACCGATGGCACCTGCTGCCCAGGCTGCTGCTGGGACTGGGGAGGGAGAGGGGTGGAGGATGGAGGAAAGAGGGGGAAGGGGGGAGAAAAGAGGAATATGCTTAAGAACCTTGTCTAAGTCATCAAATTAATTGTACCTAACTACATTGACATCAGAAGGTTCCAGGATCGATGCAAAGCCTTGGCATTTGCACATAACATACAGAGACAACGGGAAACACTCTTTAACAAAAGAAGCAGTGCACTTTATAGGGAATAGGGTGGCAGACTAGGTGTGGACAGGAGGACTCACCAGGTTTGGCACGCTGGTGACAGCGGTGAGGGCTGCTGCCTTGTTCTGAAGCTGCTGGGGGTTCACCCCCTGTCCTGGCCCCCCCTGGCCGTACTGACCACCAAACGGACTGCCACCGTTACTGCCCAGGCCCAACTGAAAGAAGGAAGAGGAGAGAGGGGAAGGAGAGAAATGGAGAGGGGAGAAAATGGAAGAGGAAAGAGACAAAAATCTGTAAAAAAGCATTTCAAAACACAGTCCATGCTAGTAACTAAGTCGCTCTGGATAAGAACTTCAGCTAAATGACCAAAATGTAAATGTATCAAGTGTCAATTCCATTTCGCCAAGCACACAAGAAACCCAAGTCTCAAAACATGGAAAATGCTCCCAGCATCCAGCATCAATTTGTCTTCTCCAATTCTGCACCAATTTGTCAACAAGCAGCTCTCCCAGTGAGGTCTACGCCATTCACAGCTCGTACATGGTGTCATTATAGCTCTGCCAACTTGGTCCCACCACAACCCTGCTAGTGCCAACAAAGCTCAGACATAGCCCCACACCACAACTGCCAGAGTTTGAGCTGCAGGCTGAGGAGCCAGAGGGCCTTAACTGCATCCCTCCTCCTCCTTCCCACTTTCTCCCTCAGCACTCCCTCCAACATATCCCTTCATCTCCATCTACAATCACCCCAGCTCTCTCTTTTCTAATTCTCCTATCCGCTTTCCGCAATCACTTCAGCCAGAGAGGCCCCAACATCCCTCCTTCCCTCAGAGTCCCTTCTATCCTTCTCTCTCCCTCTCCCTCTCTGATCCCATGCAGCAGGCAGGCTTAAACCACACCAGGCACCAGCCCCCCCAACATCCCCCTTCCCTCCCTCCATCCTTCCTTCCCCCAGGCACAGTCCCCCCCCCCCCCCCCCCGGGCCGTTGACAGCGCTCCAGCAGACCAGATAAAAAGACCCAGCTGAGGCAACCAGAAACCAGCAGCTTAACACACACAGCTGAAGAGAGTCGTCGTCCCCCCCCCCACCTCACCTCCCTCTATCTTTCTGTCCCTCTCCGAAAAACTCCACACAGACAAGCACTGAAAAGTACCCTCCATGCTCTCCACACACACCTCCTCCTCCTCTTTCTGACACACTTATCATAGCAGCCAGCTCTGCTTTGATTCTTGCCACTCCACTGCCAGAAAAGAGACACAGAGGAGTTTATTTAGCTTGTCTGGCCCTGCACATAGATTACCCCCTTTCTTTCTATCCCTCCCTCGCTCCCTCTTCTCCATTCCTCCTTTCACACTCACCCCCTTATTCTGCGTCTGATAAAGTGATTTACTGCCCAATGGTAGGGCAGAGAGCCAGAGAAAGAGGAAAAGATTGGGATCACACACGTGCCCAGAAAGAATTTACAACCTCGGATAATGCAAAGACAATAAACCACACACACACACACAATAACAAAGACCATCACCTGGCTGCCTCTTCTCACTGCACTCAGTGACCAGACCATCACCATGAAGACGCATTTTCTCTATGCCCCTCTCTCCAAAACAACTAAACTACCACCAATACGCTCTCTTTCAGTCTCTCTCTCTCTAGCCCCTCTACCAGTCTCTCTCACACCCAAATCAAACTACTACAGGTTCTCTCAGCATACTGGTCTCCATGTAAACACACAAATATAAACACTTTTAAGACCCCCTCTCTGTGTTGTGGTTACAGACGCTCACTAGACAGCAGAGAAAGCAGAATGGATGGTTTCCTATTGGTTTCTTGTGAAACCACATAAGAGCAATGTCACTGAGGCTTAGGTAAACTATACCTAGCGCTACACACACTGTTATAATCAACTCTAGAATCCCCTACAGACAGTGATTGAGCAGAAGATGATAATGTTAACTCAAGATCAGTACATAGCAGTTTGGTAGAACTAGAATTCTAGTTCTAATTCTGTAGGCAGAGCTTGCAATTGAATAATGCTGCCAACTAATGGCTAATGTCTTTAAAAAACTGACTCAAGCCAATAGGCTACCAGCTTGCCACTTGTACAGCCCATTGTGCAAAAAGAGAGCAGTTAGGAGTCTGCAGTGCTATTGTTAGAGCTGTTTTTATAGTCCTCCAAGGCCACTGTGGCGCGCTGTTAGAAATGTATCATCCCGTTAGAAACAAAGACCAGGCGTTTTAACGAGAGGCTACGGTGCTTCTCACCACTCATTAATTGGGCAATTAAGCAGTGAATTAAGCCCAGTAAAAACCTAAGCACCGGCTTGGTGTCAAACACAATCAGAGGCAGCATCAGACATTAGTGTAGTAGAACTAGGCACAGGGGAGGCTGGCTAAGTGGAGCCTGGTCCCAGATCTGTTTAGGGACCATAGGAAGGGGCAAGACAAGACTAACATATCTGGGACCAGGCTATGGCTCATGCTGCGTTCACTTCATGTCGGAGTGATCGGAGGAACGACTTGTCTACTTGGAGCGTTAACGTGCTCGGATGGAACACAATCTTTTTGTTGCTATTTTCAGTGGTGCGTGGCATCAGAGTTCAGCGTGTGGGAAAGATCGGGGTCCAGAGATCATACCCGAGTTTCCTAGTCGTAATTACGAGTTGGTGGGGTGTTCACATGCAGTAGGAAGGTCGTATTTACGAGTTCCCGACATGACGTGAACGCGGCATAAGTGTCTGAATCTTTCAAAATGGTTTGGCTTCTGTGGAGGGCATTTATTAGTCTCAAACATGGCAGATTTAGTACCCAGCAGTATCAGAGAGCTATCACCCAATCAGTATGGATCTGCTCTACACAGTGCCAAAGTGCCAAAGCAACTAGCACCAAAGCTGAGAATGCATGGATGATCCTGTACAAATGATGATTCAACACACACAAACCAGAGCTATAAAGAGATATCGCTTCTCTCTGACCATTTGGCACATTCAAGACCTCTCTTTCTCTCTGTCGCAGACACACATTTCATACATGCCTCTCTATGACTCAGTGTGTGTGTGTGTGTGTGTCTGTCTGCGTCTCTCATCCGTGACTCACCTTGTTCATGTTGCCCGCCTGCTGGGTGGCGGCCGCAGCGCTGAAGGTGGCAGCGCCCATCTGCTGCCCGCCCTGCTGTGTGAGGGTCTCTGCCAACGAGCTGCCCGCTCCTCCTCCTGGTGCCCCCTGCATAGCCTGGTACTGCCCCCGGCCTCGTCCACCTCCAGGAACCAGCCCCAGTCCTCCGTTCATCACCTGGCCCGGCTGGTGCTGCCCACCCTGGGCTAACATCCCGGCGTGGCCCCCCAGAGACTGGTTGAAGTTCTGTCCGGTCCCCGCTTTCGGCGACCCTTGACCCAAGGCGCTCTTCCCAAGTGCTGCACCCAGCTGACCCCCCATGACGCCGGGCTGAGTTCCTCCTCCAGCACCCCCGGTGAGACCCGAGGTGCTACCCGCCCGGAGGAGCTCTGACAGCTGCTTGTGCTTGGCCACTGCGTCCGGGACCATGGAGCCCAGAGGTCCAGGACCCCCAGGGTTGGTGTTACCCCCATTGGAGGACATGGCGCCACCCATCATACCCCCCAGGCCAGAGCCTCCGTTGGGGATCAGCTCGTCTGGCAGGTCGTTCTCCAGGTCGTCCCATGATAAGGAGCCTAGGTCCACTGTAGAAGAGGAGGAAGAGGAGGAGAGAGAAAAACAGGTTAATAATATGGATTGACTGACAACAATTTAAATATCTCTGTCTGTGTAACTGCCATTGAAGTACAGTATCAGCCAGCCTATCGCAGACCTGCCAACCTTAAAGAATTGTTATGAGTACCATTTCAGCGCAGTGGCGGCACCCCCGGGTCCCACAACGGCACGTGTGCGACACCACATTGCTCATATCACGCCTGGCGTGGTCCTTTTTTTGTCTAATAATGTGGCAGAAGGCTGCCTCAGTAGGAATGGTAGGCTATAGATTTATGGGTACTTGGTAATTAGCTGCTCTTCAAGAGCTAACTAGAAATACGTTTAAACGTACTATCAGGGCTCAGGTTGTGCTGATGTAGGCCTAAGGTTCAGTAGGGGGTAAGTCCAGCGAATGTCAGTCAACTTCCCCTTAGGAAGTTGGAGCATTTTGCATTTTTGAAAAACCTGTAACTGCCATTACCTGAAACCTAGAGTCTTAAATTATATCAAACAATGTAGCCAACACAGAAGTATTGTGTTTGATCCTAAATTATATTGAGGTGGTCTCAATTACAAATTTTTCTAGGTTTAATTTAGGGGTAATGGTTATTCTAATTCATAATTAATGTGTGTGCCTTTATGTGGATATAGTGAAAACGTACATTGGCTTCTTAATTTTGTTTAGGGAGAGAATTCTAAATAATTAAATCACTGGATGCAATGTAGTAGCTTACTGTAGGCTATCTGGTATATGAAACAACTGAACTAAGCCTTTATGAGCTAGTTTCAGATCTACATCCCTGACCTAGTCCAAGTTAGGTCTGACTACTAGGCTACCATTCATTCAACATGCCTTGTCATTGGTGAACTGACTATTATAACATCTATTATCACATCATTACTGTTGACATGAACTAAGCAGACCAGACCCAGCTGCTATCGCATTGGTGTCTATGGGATAGCCACCCCCTTAAGTAGTGGTCCTCTGTAGCTCAGCTGGTAGAGCACGGCGCTTGTAATGCCAAGGTAGTGGGTTCGATCCCCGGGACCACCCGTACACAAAAAAATGTATGCACGTATGACTGTAAGTCGCTTTGGATAAAAGCGTCTGCTAAATGGCATATTATATTATTATATTATTAAGTAGACAGGAACTGACAATGTTTTTGCAATGGTAAATGGCCTGAATGAATTCTTCATTTTCTACTATCTTTGATAGTACTATGACTACGGGGGGTGGGCCGGAGCTAAAGAGATGTTTTCTCCTTGCTCAAGTCCTCTGATTGGCTCAGCTCCAACTTCAGACGGTTGAGTCAAAAACCACAATGTGCCAACTAGAAGCCTATTTTTGTGTATTTTAGGGACGTTTTTCGTACCAGCGTACTTTGACCACAAATTGTGTGCATGCATGGTACGCAAAATACGTTCAGGTTGGCAGGTCTGCTATCACTCCCAATTCCATCTCCCAGCCCATTCACCTAACTCTTTATTCTATCGCAATGTGCTAATG